TTAATAGTGTCTTATCACGTTTTTGAGATGTCTCAAAACACCTCACAGAATATAATGTAAAGTGTATTTTGTGGGCGAAATGCGGCAGCCAATTGCACACAGCAGCCAATTGCGAACAGTCGTGGATAGGAATGACCAATTTATTGCTAAATTTATCCACGTAAAGCTAAACTGGAGGGAGAGCCATGAAAGGCTTCCTATTGCTTTGAGCGGAACTGTTCAATAACGCACAAGTTTGAGGTCACACTGCTTGGAATGGCTTTTATTTTATGACACTTGGGTGAAATTGCACAAATATAAAAACGTATATTTTTCTTTTTTTAAACATTAAAAAAATCGTGAATTTAGAAATCACCTGTACAATATATAAAGACAGATTTGGTTAGCGAGCTCAGAGGCACAAAAGGAATTCCGACAATGTGATTTGTTAAAATATAAAAATACCTCTTAAAATAGAATTAGCACTTGTTGGTCATAAAAGGGGAGCAGTTACCGCAATCAGACACTTGAAATAACAATGTGGATCCACATCTTATCCTTGCTATTGATGTAGCGCCCACAGGAAATTGCACTAAAGTGTAATAAAAATAATCCTTGCATTTGATATAGCGCCTTATCACGTCGTCGAGATGTCTCAAAGTGCTTCACAGAACGTAATGGGGACTGTGTATTTTGTGGGCAAAATTGTGCCCAGCAAAATTGTCCCACAAACAGTCGTGGATTGAGCGACCACATTTTCTTTTAAGGGATTATTATTATTAAGTGCAGTCTGCTTAATGTGCAAACGCAGCAGCCAATTTATGAACAGCAACATCCCGCAAACAGCTGTGAAGTAATCGAGCGACCAGTTTTATCTGGTGGATTGTCAGTCAGGACACAGGGAATAAAATCCCTGTCTTCGTAAAGCATCACGGTATCTTTAATGTCCACCTGAAGAGGGCATAGATAAGACCTTGGTTTAACTTCTCAATCAAAGGATGGTGTCGCTGATAAAGCAGTACTTCCCCCAGCACTACGATGGAGCGAGCATCAGCCTGGATTTTGAGCTCAAGTTTTAAGCCTGGATTCTGATGTGAATGTGTATGAAAACACACATATACGCTTCCTTTTTTTAATTGGAACATGGTGGACAGGGAATTCAATTGGAAACAGACAGAGGAATTTGGGCTAAATATGATTTGGCTTAAAATTAGTTTTTATTAAAACACTGCTGCACCCAAAACAGAAACTCAAACTTGCAGCATATTCTTTAGTGAGCACACTTCAGTACAGCGCACACTATATTAATAACAGTAACCCAAATAATAACCCATATCATTGATAATAATAATCAAGCTTGCATTTGATATAGAGCCAAACATGGCAGAAGGACGTCGCAAAGCGCTTCAAAGGTTTTTACTGTAAACAACAAATTACATTTGTACAGCGCATTTCATATTCGGGAGGACGTTCCAAGGCGCTGGACAGTCAGGAATTTGGCTGTAAAGCGTAGTGACTGATTCTGTAGGCAGACAGTTTGTGCACAGCGACGTGCCACAAACGGTCATGATCAATATTAGAGGGTCTTATGATGTGGTAATTATGGTCAATCAATCGTGGTCCAGTGTCGGGGCTTTTTTTTGTAGTCAAATGTGACAAGTGCAAGCCATGAGGCGAAAGGCCATTTGACATGGAGGATTGTTGGGTATTAAATCACCTTCCTCCCTCTCACACATGCACAGACACGCACTCACGGGCACACACACAGGCACATTTATGTATGCATAAATACACATGCACACACACAAATAGAGACACACAGTGTGCCCACACACACACTTTACTATTTACAGGATCTTTAAGAAAGCCCTTGAACAGGCAAAATGGGACCTTGGTTTTAACTCAAAATTGTCAGGGCAGGCAGACAATGAAACACAGACCTGGAGCGACAGCCTAGCCTGTGAGCACAAGTTCTCCCGACCCAGGGCGTTGATCCCGCAACCTTTTCACCCAGAGGCGAGAGTGCAGGCGACCGAGCCAAGCTGACAAACAAGTACAGGGTCCAATGGCATGAATGTGACAGCCTCCTTGATGCAACATCTCCACTTTGGAGAGCGTTACCCTCAGGTCATGTTGTTCTCCCACAGTCAGACAGTGATGTTGGTCACACAGCACAGACTGTGAGGCCATCTCCAGTGAGCTCGGCTCTCGCGCTCTCTCTCTCTCTGCTTTGTTCGGGATTTGAGTACCCTGGTTCTCAATGTATACGATGGATGGTGGTGGGGGTGGTAGATGGTGGGAGCGAGTGGGATTGGGTTGGTGTTTGGGGGGCTAAAGGGGAGTGTTATACTCTTCACACTGAGGAACACCTGCGCTGGTGAACAGAACGTTTGGGGCTATTGCAATATTTGCAAAGCACCAAAGGGCTGAAATCTCTCACGGTCTCGAAAGCAAGACCGCTCGCTCGCTGACGTAAACTTTAAGAGGCAAAATTTGATGGCAAATTTGAGGCTAAAATTAAGTTTGTTTTCGCAGCTCTTAAAAAAAAACAACTCACAAGTGAAGTCTGAATGAAGAGGGTTTTTCCCCACACAAAAAAAATTCTGCGCGACCTTAAAATTGAAGGCAACATCCTAAAGGCTAAAGTACCGAAGAGTTTTAATCTTCGAAACCTTTGACTAAACTGGGTGCAATTGGCTGCCGCATTTCGCCCACAAAATACAGTCAATTACAGTATAATCGTGTAAAGCGCTTTGAGACGTCTCGACTTCGTGATAAGGCGCTACATCAATTGCGAGGATTATTATAATAAATTGGACGGGATGTCACCAATAGCCAGCAGTGTCCCACGGAGAGCACCATTCTTAATCGGATTAAATACTCTGCAAACTGCTTCAGTGCTTCTTGCATGAGTGGTTAAACTTAAACTTAAAAGAGCCTTTGGTTTTGACGAGGCTGTTTATGAGCGAGGGTTTCCCATGCTGACCTCCTCACGTTGGGAGGGAGGCAAGTCCAAAGAGCAAAGCGACTCACATTCAAGTAATAAGTTTAGATTAAATAAACTACATACAAACAGAGCAGTGGTGGGTGTGTGGGACAGGCAGGACAGGGAGCCAGACTGAACCAGCAAGAATTCAAGGAATTGGAAAGGTATTTAGCGGAGGTGAATGCCATGAGAGACAGAGTAGAGCATGATTTTTTTAGTTTGGGAACTGGCCAAACAGAGTGCAATGATCTCTTCGAATCCTCTCCCTTTCTTTTGTGAATCCATACAACTACAGAAATTTACAGCACAGAAGGTGGTCATTTTCAGCGGCTTGGGACGTCCACCCGACATGAAAGGTGCTCTATATGTGTAATTTTGTTATTGTTGTTGTATTTGGCTCATCATGTCCGTGCCAGCTCCCTCAAGAGCAATCCTTGCAATCCCATTTATCTGGCTTTCCCCCTTATTCCCCTGTAGCTGACTCTTTTTACGCAGTCACTACACTTAACGGTATACTCTGTGCAGCGCTTTAAGACACTTCAAAGACGTGATATTGCGCTGTATCGAATGGAAGGATGATTATTATTATTTATCTTGGTTCTTCTTGAAGGACAATATCGATTCTGAAAATAACTGCACACGGTGTTTGAGAGATCAAAGGATTGCGATGAATGACCTCTTCCTGTGCTGAACAAGTTATAAGTTTCTAGATGTGAGCGCCTGCTGTGAACCATATCTGTGTGCTCTACTGTTGGCCTCTGAAAAGACCCTTCAGTAAACTGAGAGCTGCTTCCTCTCTCTGGTTTGCTTGGCCTCCTTCCCTATTGTGACTGGAATCCTCATTTACATTTAAATAGCTTTCAACTGGACTGCGATTCTGGGTCTCTTCCTCCCCTCCCTCCTTAAAAGTTATTAAAATACTGTAAACACAGACGTCACTGAACGGGGAAGTCAGGAAAGGCAGCGTTCCTGCTGCCGTTTACATTCCTCAGGCGATTGGTCTGTCACCCGTGGTCTGTGCATGTCACGTTGAATGATAACAATAATAATAATCCTTGCATTTTGATATACAAACAGTCGCAGACTGAGTGACCAAATTATTATTATTTTAAAAAGATGCATTTTGATACCTACGCTCCATCCCACCCCAACACACACAGACACACACTATAATCACTAGCTGGCTGGAGTAAGTGCAGAGCTACTATCTTGAGCCCCTGGAAAAGAACAGGTCACTTGAGGAAGTAAACCCACAACAATACTTTCATAGAATCGTACAGCACAAAAAGAGGCCATTCGGCCCATCGAGTTTGTGTCTTTGAATAGAGCAATTAATGTCAGTCCCACTCCCCAGCTCTTTCCCCCATAACCCTGCAAATCCGTCCTCCTCAAATACCCGTCCACTGCGTTTTTAAAAGTTGTTATCGAGTCCACCCAGACAGTGGAACAAAAGGACTTGAGTTTAGTTGGACAACGTTCTACTCCACCCTTCAGGACGAGCACAAAGCTTCCAACAAAATAAAAACGGTTCAGTACATTCTCAATGTTGTCCTTTCTATTAGAAGTGGGATTTTTTTCAGTCATTAATTTAACTAAACAACACTGTTGTTTGTAACCTGTTGTTACTGACAGATTGGTCGCTGTCTTGGTCCCCACATTAAACTTGCACCCTTCACGCGGAGTAGGGTCCCGGAGCGCTTGAAACCTATTATCTATATCCAGATTAACACCTTTTCCCCTCATTAGCCATTATTTCAGATCCTGTCTGTCTTATGATTCAGGTGGATGGGGGAGGGCGGGATTTTAAGCATATTAAAAAGGAGCAGGAAGCTGAAATGGTCAGCTTCTGTCATCTGATCTCTGCTGATGTTATTTCCTGTGAGCTACATTCAGATAGCGCACAGGAAGTGACATTGGCGGTGACCTAATAAGTTGACCATTTAATTGAGAGAATGGGCTAAAATGTGGGACCCTGGTGTGAGCGTATTATAACCAAATACAGCAATATACAGCTTTGCAAAGGTCTGAACTGTATTTACGCTGCTCTACATTCGGTCTCTCATCAGTACCTCAGTCTCTTACTAGCAAATCTTACTTTGGGAAGCAGACTGTATCCAAAACACCAACTTCATTTCCAAAGCCTATTAGAGAAGAAGAAAGGGAGAATTATAGCAATGTTTCAGTGGGAGCTTTAACAATGGTAATGACTGGATTTTTTTTTGGGGGGGGATCGGGGTGGGGTGGAACAGGGGGGGAAATGTGGCTCAGTGTAAAACATTTTTAATGTCAGTCACTATGGATGTACTGCTGACAGATCAAAGTGTGCAAGTCTTAGATCAACACAAACGTAAAATTTGTTAAATCCTTAATCAGGTTAACAAACAAAGGCGGTGCTTCACGGGATTAAATGTCAATACTCAACAGACTCAACGAGGTCTGTTTCACATGACTGTGTAACAGACACATGACTGTGTAACAGAATGCAACCCAGGACTCACACTGCCAAGACCTGAGAGTATTGGCACCGATAGGTTAATGCAACGACCTGCACTCTCTGCACAGAGGTTCTCAACTCTGTGCATTATTCCGAATTACTCCATGAGCGTTTTTTTTCACATAGTGGAAGCCTTTTGAGATCCAGATGCTTTGTAAATGAATGCAGCTGAAGGCTGGACTACAGCACAATTGCTCCGCAGTGTCTCATGAAGTCTATTCACTCTGACTTAACACCACTCTTAATTTGTACTGGCTTTGACCTGTATCTAACTCAACACAGCGCTGAGAGTTGCTCTCAAGAACACACATACAAGAAGCTGAACCAAAACCAAAAGAGAAGTACAATAGAGAGTGATTATAATCCTCCTCTTCTCCTATGCCCTACCACCCCACCCCAACACCGCCCCACCACCATCATCAAAGTGAGATTAACCCTTCCGCTAGTGCATTTCGCCAATAGGGGGAAAATATATCTGATCAACATTTTAAGAGCCACCAATGCTGGGACATTTGTAATCTATATATAGATATCCGGCAAGGCCAAGGGTGTATCAGGGAGTGCACAGCTCTCTTGGGAACCTACCCCAGTGTTTAGCACCCTCAAGAGGGAAGGGATGAAGTGGATGTTAAATCCTGATTTTACAGAACTCTTAAAACTTATTATATTTGTTGGTCAACTTAGTCACTTTATTAAATAAACATTAAAGATTATTTAAAATAATTGGCAAATGAACCAGAGGAGAAATTTTTTTCACACAACGAGAGGTATTATGGTCTGGCATACACTGCCTGAAAGGCTGGTGGAAACAGATTCAGTAACAACTTTCAAAAGGGAATTTGAAAGGTATTTGAAAAGGAATGGATTGCAAGGACATGGGAAAAGAACGGGGAAGTGGGACTGATTAGACAGCTCTTCCAAAGAGTCAGCACAGGCACTATGGGCCAAATGCTTCTTGTGTGCTGTAATATTCTATGATTCTATTTCGGTTGGACACACTTCGGAGTCGTTATTGAGACTTGAGACCAATTCAATATTTGCAACAGGAACTGGAGAGGAATGAGACAGAAAGGCACGGGGAAAGGGTACGGCATTTGTGATTAGGCTGGGGAGCGATCACCAGCATATAGGTCAATGTCCCCCTTCAGTGCCATAAATTCTGATTCTGCGATATTGGTGATTTTTTCATTGGCAAGTGGACAAGAGGCAGAAATCAGCAAAATCAAGATTAGATTCAGTACAAAACTGGGAACCAGACACACCTTCTCTCCTTCAACAGAGAGAGAGAGAGAGACCCTGAGCAGATACCATTACCAAATCCCAGATTGATTTCATGATATTTGTTTTGTATGTAAAAACTATTATTTACAGTAATGCGAAAATCAACCTGCTCACTGACCTTACTGAAACACAACCTGTCACAGGGAACCTGAGTGAGCGAGCGAGAGAAAGAGCGAGCGAGCTAGTTGCACACAGGCCACGGTTAAGGCTGACTGGGAGAAAATGCATTAATGGTTTGCAAGAGCTGCAGTTTCTGCTCGAGTCCGGATCTCTGCAGACCCCTTCGAGAAATGAACCAGATAATTATAATAATAATCTTGCATTTGATATAGCATTTTTCACGTCTTCGAGACGTCTCAAAGCGCTTCACAGAATATACCGTAAAGTGAATTATATCTGTGGTCAAACGCGGCAGCCAATTACACACAACGGTGTCCCACAAACAGTTGGGGATTGAGTGACCAAATTATTATTGTTTCCTTTGAGGGATGTGTTAAGGTGCCTACACCAAATGCAAGTATTATTATTATTATACAACAGATGCCGTTTGATCCTGTTGTCAAGGGTAGCAACAAGCAATATGAGAAACAGCACAGACACTTGGCGCAGGTGTTGTTGAAAGGGGCCAGTGTTGCAAATGAGAGAGAGATACTTGGCGAGTAAGGGCATTAATGATGAGACGCTAAACCGAGATCCCATCTGCCTGCTCAGGTGGCTGTTAAAGATCCTGTGGTGCTGTTCAAAAAGAGAATGGAGTTTCTCTCTCCCGATGACCTGGCCAAGAATCTCTCCCCAAATAAATAAAAATTGGTCATTCACTCCATGGCTGTTTGTGGGACGCTGCTGTGCACAAGTGCACATTTCGCCCACAAAATACACGATCAATCCACTTTACTGTCTACCCTGTGAAGCGCTTTGAGACGTCCCAATGATGTGATAAGGCGCTATATCAAATGCATGGATTATTACTATTAAGCGATAAGGGGAAAACGTGGAAATGATATTTAAAGTGTTCCCATAAACTGAATGGCAAGGAGGCTTAAAGGGCTGACTCTCGGTCCCACGTAACGCAGATTTCATAATAATAATCTTTAAAGGGGAAAGAACAACTCAACCATGTAATTGCCAAGCTTGTTACAATACAACTTCATTAATACTAAGGCCTGCATTTGGTAACGCATCAAAATTCGTAAAAGCACTTTACAGGGAATTACTGTCAAGTGCAGTGACTGTATTTGTAGGCAAACGAGTGGTTGCTCAGGAGTAACACTACACAAGTGTTTACACACAGATAACCGAATCTCTCTAATGGGAGACAATCGACAGAGAAACAACACGCTGTGGATTTGACTCAAAGTTACCCACTTGGGGAGATATTGAAAGGAAGAGAGGGACTTTTTTTTAAGTACTAGAGAAAACAAGACCGTATTGGTTGTCCATTCAAAGTATAAGGCACTTGACTGATCGTCTATATAAAACAATCACAGCTTAGCTTACTGCAGGCCAGCTTTAAAACTTTTATGGCCTCGTGATTAGTGTCTGAGTACCGATAGCTCATCATTGCTTTCACCTCCAAAAGGTTCCTTCGAACAATCTCGGTGCAGTGCATGCAACCAAACGATAAAGAGAGAGAGAGCACAAGCACACCATTCCAGATACAGGGTAATTTCCTTGCCTGGGTATCATGCATACGTAGAACTCTCAATCTGACTTCAATACTCTTTTTTGTGTTTGTGTGTCAGACCCGGGGCTCATCGCAAAACATGTTTTAACATTTATATTCATTTCCCATTAGCGTCAGCGCAGAGGGCTTGGCGTTCGGTGAACGAAAGTGAAACTTTTCTGGGTAAAATAAAACGCAGACTGCACAGCTGTGGGTCTTTCTCAGGAACCCCTCACAGCCTGAAAGTAGGGTCACAGGCCAGCGATACCTACACGTTTCGGATCTTGTAAACATGATGACTTTGGCTCCGTGTTGCGGGAGCAGCACCTGTGAAATTGGCTGCAGCATCAGCCAGTGCTCGGAGCGAGCGGAGGAGACCACCTTTTGCCTCTGCGCGATCTCTGCAACGAGGTGGCACCAGATGGATAGTCGAGGCAGGGGTGGGTGCTCGAGGTTAACGACTCCTCACAACCCTGGCTGCTGAGTTCCGCGCTTCCGATAATCTGCCTCGTGCAGCCCTCGCTCTGCACTCATTGCTGAGTTCCAGCGAGCAAAATAATTGGCCAAACATGAGAGCAGAGGCAAGGCTGGTAATTATTGCCGTACGAAATCCTGGAGGAACGGGGAGATAGAAGGAAATAAGAGATTTTCCTTCAGCTATCCAGCATACTGAAGTCGAACTTCCTCAGAACAACTTTTCTGCTGTTACCGTAACACTTCCCGTCAAAAGATGTAGCAGGAAAATCACCACAATGTCAGATCCCAATGTCTCGTCTTATCTTGCAGTCCCCAGTTTTCTCCACTCGGCTCCTCTTCCGATTGGGGTAATTCCTCCTGTTACAGTGCCCATAACCTACATTGCCCATGCGACACATTAATGGAGCTGTTGGACCAGAGAGGGCATCACAGCCACCCAAGCCTGGTCCTGTCCTTCCTGTAAAGCTTTGGGGGATGGGGGGAAACTGTGAACAGTGGAAACCGGTGAATTTTTTTCCCTCTTCCACCTTAGGCGGTGCAGAAGATAAACCCCCTCCGTCTCCTCCCTCTCCCCCATTCCCACACACACTGCAAAAATACAATCGATCCTTGTGAATTGTGAAAAATAGCAGCTTTAGGAGGTAGAGTAGTTGCTGAGAAGGAGCTGCCTTATTTGTATCGACTGCAGCATTGCCTTTGGGATCATTTTACACAGAGGTTTGCTGAGAAATTGGTCAGTCACCGAATACATTCCCCCTTTTTTGATGTGAACCAGGTAGGGTCGAAACTACTTTGCACACGTCAATTAGAAGGTCCAAATGTTCGGAGATATGCCAACCCTCGAGTTGATGTGTCTACCCTGTGCGTTCCTTATATCAATACAAGCACTCAACAACAAGAACAACAACAAATAACATTTACACAGCGCCTTTCACGTCGAGAGGACGTCGCAAGTCCCTGGACAGTCAAGGATTTGCACCCGACCTGGAGCTTGGGATCAGGAGAAGTGGAGGGCATGGAGGGTGGGGGCAGGAGGGTGTCCGAAGGCTCAGTCGAAGAGGAGGGTCTTGAGACGGGACTTGAAGGGGAGGCAAGGGAGGGGTTGAGGGGAAGGGACCTGGGGGATGGAGTTTTCAAAAGGTTAACTCAATTCTCTTAAACACACACCTCTCTGCTGCTCAGGAAAGTCACAGATTTCCCCCCTCCTTTCCCCGGTTGCTATTAAACGATGTGAGAAAGTTTTGCTTTGAAGACAAGTCAGCGCACGTTGGTAACATGTGTGCAAAAAAATGTAAGCACTTTTGGCGTTTGGACACTCTAAAAAAAAATGGGTTAACACTATTGGAAACATACAGGCGCCGAGGATCTTTCTTGGCCTAATGCTGCTCCTTTTCTGCAGGAGACAATCTTCCATTGCCAACAATCCGGACTTCCTGGCTTCTGGCTCTGGTCTGCCTGTTGTGCAGAGCTGCAGAGAAACAGGATCAAACACAGGGTTATACATATTAAAGCATGCTACAAGGCCCATCAAACCCCCCCACCACCTCACACACTCACACACAGATGACCACATCTACCCTCGTGTGGATTTCACCTACCCTGCTTCACTACCACCTCCAGGGAAAAAACTCCACACCACAGATTCCCTGATCCCTGCTCCAAAATATCCATCTCCACATCTCTTCACACCTAACCTTCTCCCCTTCGTGGGCTTGTTTCCCTCCACCCTCTGGGACCTGACAGCACAGACAAGGTCTGAATTGATTTGCTTGCTCTGTAAGCTGGTGTGGATTCTGGAACGCCTGCGTCCGGGGCGCTCTATAAATGCAAGTTGTTGTTGTTGACCCAATGGGCCGAAAGACCTCCTTCTGCGCAGTAGATTTCTATGTTTCTACGTAAAGCAGTAGCTCAAAGCTCTACCTCTTGTTACACATTCCTCAGTCAAAAGAACCAGGAACCAGAGCTGGGATTTGACCAGCGTTTCCTTTGTGTGAAGAACGTATCTTGATGCAATTTATTCCTTAAAGGATTCATCTGCTCTTTAATATGCCATCCACTGCCGCAAATGCTAAAAATATCTTTGTATTCAGCTTGCTGTTAAATCCAATCTTCCCTCTCACCTCTCTAATATCTCTTTTGATTATCCTCAACAGGCTTGCTGTAGTTCTTAGATCCTTAGCAATATAATAATAAAACTAATAATAACCCATGCTTTTGATATAGCATCTTATCATATCATTGAGCTTCACATGATTACACTGTAAAGCGTAGTGAACATGTGGTTTATAGGTGGACGCAGCAGCCAATCTACAACAACAACAACTTACATTTATATCTCCCGGCAGCAATGTCCTACACATCACCATGTCGTGAATAACTAATTTTTATCTGGGAGATTGTTGGCCAAGACACTCGGAGAAATCTATTCTCTTTTTGAATATTGCCAAGAGATTTTTAATGTCCACCTGAACAGGCGGACGAGACCTGGGTTTAATGTCACATCTGAAGGACGGCAATTCTGACAATGCAGCCCTCCCCCAGCACTGAACTGGAGGGTCAACCTAGACTGTTAGCTCAAAATCCCGTTCTAGGGGCTTCTGACTCGGGAGGCGAGACTGCTATCAATATCTGTGGTCTGGCTTTTTGGTTGGTTTTAGTCAGCAGGCTTATGTGTAGGCAAAAATCATCACGCTCTCGCTCCACACGTTCCCTCAGAGAACACAGAGATCGCTGCACTCACCGCAAGTGTTACCGGATACACAGCCCTCACTGTCGGTCAGTGTTGAAGAGAAATCTTTGGAATCACCACATATTGGGTTGTTTAACCAGCCACTCCTCAGGCTCGCATTCATCGCCTGGTCCTGATCGTGCCGGGGGTGGGGGAAGGAGGGCAGTGGGAAGGGGGGGAAACAGGACAAACACAAAATAAAATAACCTCTGTGAATCAGTATCGCTTGTAGAATTGTACTCCTACAGTGTGGATTTACGGCATAGACACATTTCGCACTCCTGTAAAGTAACATAATATACAGTCTTGAGGCTTCTAATCGTTTTATTCAAAGGGTTGTGAGCATGGAAACATTTTGTGCGGCTTGTGTAGAAAACTAATTAGGACGCATGTTTGTTAACCCCAAAATGTCATGTTAAAGAGCAGCTCAGAAAGAAAATGTAGTAAATTGGGAGAATTGGGTGGGGAGGGGGGAGGAAGGAGGGGAGACATCTGATGCGTTACAACAGTAGGATCATTCAGGGTTGCGCAAAGAGACTCTGTGATTGCTGGCAGTGTATTTTATCTCTTTTATGAAAGTAAAGCTAAGGAAAGAATGACGGGACAGAATGATAGGAGCGCCATGTCATGATTTCCCCCCGCCCCCGAAAAAAAAAACATGAATTACTCTGCCAGCCCAGAGTATGGGGGTAACATGAGAACACAGAACTACTTGGAATGTGTCATATATGGACGTGGAAACTCATCACCATTCTCACTGCCCCCAGTTTAGCTGAGAATGCCACAGATTCCTTTACAGATAATCCATCCCAAGGACTTGCAGATTCTTTGACAAAACTATGTTAATTCTTCAGGAATCAGCAAACGCTGTGTAACTAGGTCGATTGTGCCACACTACGCGCCGGACATTCAGTTCAAACAGAGCAAAGGTGGCAAAAGCCCGCCATTACTGGAGTCTGTTAAAATTAAACGATTTAAGTGAAAGTCAAATGATCTGTGGTCTAATCAGTCATTGACTTGGATGGAGATTACTCAGGAGGTAGTGTAGGAGGTGCGGGAATGAGGGAGGAGTGAGGAATCATTGCGATGTGTAACTTATAGCGTACTGAATTAATTATAATAATCCTTGCATTTGTGCGTTATAGTGACATCGTTGAGACGTCTTAAAGCACTTCACAGAATATACTGTAAAATGGAGTGACTGTGTATTTTGTGGACCAAACACGGCAGCCAATTGCACACAGCAGCATCCCACAAACAGTCGTGGATTGAGTAGCCACACTTTTTTGGGAGGGATGGATTAGTTCCTCTGGAAAGCGATCCCAATCGACTAACAACCGGGTTCCTTTTTACCGCTAGGTAAATTAATAGAGTTAATAGAGTCTTTCAATCACCTTTGGTGGATGGATTTTTGAATGAATAAGCGTATACTGATCGCAGTGCTGTAGGAAACAACAACACATTACATTCCTCCTGAGAGTCTATTGATGGTACGAGTAATTTGTCCAACTCTCCTCCCCTCCACTCTTCATTTTGTGATATAGCTGGTGGAGTGGACTGAAGCATTTTCAGAGCCTCAATTGCACTGGATCAAATAGCTGGTCCTGCAGTGTGAGGGTTACTGAGAGGCAGCTACCGAGGAGATCAAATATATGTCTGAAAGCTTTGTGCAAGATATCTTTGTCACAAAGCCCGAGCATGTGTCCAAACACGTTCACAGCTACATGTGCACAAGGAAAATGCTTTACCCTGTATTCCTGAATACTCCTCTTCGAGTCCTCCAGCTGTTGTTGCAGGGAACCGACGATCTCTCTGTATTTAGCATACCGCGCTTCTATTATCTCTCTCTGATGCTGAGAGTCCTGCAAATACAGAGCAGAGTTTTTGTTTGTTTTTTTGGTCAGCTGAGCCGGGTATTTGTTTCACACGATGCAGAAAGCGTAGGAACAAAAGGAGGCCGTTCATCCCGCCAGCATAAAAGATCTCAGCACATCCTTTAACCCCAATGCCACTCTCTTACACCTCGTCCCTCGAAAAGATCAATTTGGATAAAGAAAGTCCTTCGACCCTTCTGACTTCCCCCGCCCCAGAACAACCCAAGCCAGGAAAAGCTTCCCATAGCCTATAGGAAAATCATCAATTCAAAAACACAGGATATGTCAATCAATGGCCAAAGGATGTTCTGAGTTGGAATGACAAACTATATGGTGTGCAGAGCCCAGGAGAACGAGCAGACTTGAGTGTTGGCATCTCTCTCTCTCTTTGTATTGATGTATGAACACACTCATAGAAATTACAATATGCAGGAAGGCAGGGGTCCCACTGAAACTAAGCTGGTACCAGCTCATCCATTGTTCCAATCCCAATTTTGTGCTCTTTTCTTGTTCCCTTTTATATTCTTCCCCTTCAAACGTCTAGCCAATACCTTGGTAATGAGAATCACTTGTGTCAAAGCATTGCGTACCCTAACCATCCTCTACATGAAACACATTCTTCTAAATTTCCCTCTTAATTCTCCCAATGACAATCCTGACCCCGTGCCCCCTGATTACCGATGTTCCCAACCAACAGGAACAATCTTTCACTATCTAAACTCTCAAGAGCTTTTTGGAAAGAACCTTTGTTGCCGACTTTGATTAAGTGTTCCCAAAGCGTGTAGGAATTGATCACTTAATCCACAAAAATTCTGGAGATACTGAGACATATAGAAGAGCAAGGTCCCAAGTTGGAAACCTGATCTGTGCTGTGCTAACTGTGTGTGTGTGTCTGTGTGTGTGTGTGGTAGGGAGGCGTAGGGGCGAAGAGGAGAGAAAGGAAACTAATAGTTAACTTCAATGTCTCTTGGGTTCATAGAGGAAAATTAGCCAAGCTTTCTGCTTCTGATGACCATTGTAAATAATAATAATAATAATCTTTGCATTTGATATAGCGCTTTTCACGTCGGGAGGACGTCCCAAAGCGCTTCACAGAACACACTGTAAAGTGAATTGACTGTATATTTGTGGGCAAAGAGCGGTATATTTTGTGAAGCCCTTTGAAACATCTCGAAGACATGATAAGGCACTATATTAAACGCAAGAATTATTATTATTCAGTGACCTTTCTGAAAGTATGAAAATTGTAATTTCTATGAGCGCATGTGTCAGTAGGAGAAAGAGGGAGGGAGAGAGAGAGAGAATGCGAGAGTGAAGTCCAAACACTCAAGTATCCCTGCTAGTTGACTAAAGTTGGAATCGGGCTCAGCTGTGATGTGCCACATGTTCAAATAACCTTAAGACTTAAATCATAAAAAACAGCCTCTTGGGAACCGTACCCTCATGTACGTCACTGACATCAGGAGAGGAAAATTCGGGGTAAAACAACTGGTTATTTTTTGGTGGGGGCACACATGGGATGGGCAGGGCTGGAAGTTGTGTGTTAACAGAATTGAAAGCATCACGTGCTACAATTATTGATAACAATGTTGATATGGAAATAATACTAATTATCCTTGCATTTGATATAGCGCCTTATCACGTCATCGAGACGTCTCAAAGCGCTTCACAGGGTACACTGTAAAGTGAATTGACTGTCATTTTTTTGGGTGAAACGCAGCAGCCCACAGCAGTTGAAATGAATGAGGCTGCTAACCGAGGTGACAGAAGGCTTAATGGGTCATGGGTTTGGTGACTCAGGGCCACTTGTTGCTCAGACTGCTGCTATTTAATCAGTTTGCATTGGGCCAACAGAGGAAATACCATCATATGATAGGAAAACTGTTGAGTTAAACTTTGTCGAAAAAAAACTGATTGCGCTGAAGTACAACGAGAACCTATTTTATAAGGCGTTTTATAAAATGCACAAAGGGCTGTTTGTAAGTTTTAAATCATTTGGGTCATTTACAAGAACTTGGAAAGGTGCTATACAAATGTAACTTTGTCGTTGTTGATTGAAACCCCTCTCCCTCCCCAAACACTGTTGTTTCAGTTCTGTTTCCATCACAGCTTTGTCACTTCCCTGCTTATCCTAGTCACCTACCACACACACAGCACAGACCTCAGCTCGGGGTCAATCGGTTGGCACTGCCACTCCCAACCACCCCCCACCCCTGTACTTGCACACTAGTCTCGGTTAGTTCGGGTTCCATCAATAATGTGTTTCCAGTTGTTTCTCCTGGTTGAACATTTTTGATTTATGGTATAAATCAAAAAATATTCAGTCAAGAATATTTCTTTTATTGGCCGACCCAAAAGGTTGAAGTGAAGCCATGTACAGTGAAGTGTTCTAACGGGGCTCCACTACTATCTGAGATCGCAAGAGAAGTTCAAGTGATGAAGGCCATTTGGCCCACCTGATCTCATCCTTCCCACCCGCACGTCCTCCCATTACCACAACAAGCTGTTTTGCAAACAGGTTCAGTGTCCTGGCCTCAACCATCCTTCATGGAAATGTTCCAGTCCTAGTTCATAGCTTCCTGTCCAATCCCTTTTATATTGTATCTCTTCAAAGCCATCTTACATTGAGCTATAACACCCTTGTAATTCAATAAGTGTTTGAGTAGAAACAACATAAAAGGAATGGGTTTAGTCAGATGGAGCTTGGAGCAGCACAGGCATCATGGGCCATCTGTGTTGTAATTTCTGTGCAGTACAAGCAATCCCTTTTCTTTCACTCCAATCTGCTCCCTTTCTGGCTCCTATTACAGCTCCATTTTTGCTCCGTCTTGTGTCTCTGCTCCTGGCAGATGAAGCTCAATACCACAAGCTAGTATCAGCCCACGAGAACACTAAAGCTACTGCAACCCATTGCAACGTCACAAGAGTTGCTTGTTACAGCTCTGTTTGTGAACGTTTTAATCTTTACTCCAGCTCCCAGACAGGACCTTCTCCTTGCAGGGAGGAGAAAATCAGACATGAAATCTGAACTGCAGAGCTGGTAGTTACAACATAAGATGATTGAATGCACTGCAGCATTACCAATGCTCAAAATTCTATTTTCATGGTTGCCCGAGGGCAAGAACACACTGAGTGAGTGAGGTGCGATTTGTGTTTTCTGACGTTAAGTTGAAACCGTGTTCGCCTACAAACAGACAGTCACTACACTTTGTGGAAGAGGCCATGAAGTGTTCTGGGATGTTTTCCACCACACGAGTTGCTGAATCAAATGCAAGGATTATAATTATTGTGAAGCACAATGCTGAAGTGCTCAGAAGAGGCTGAGTTGTCAGTCAGCACTGCCCACATCCAGGCAGAATGGCAGTATATACAGCCATTTGATTGAAAATGCCGTGGCTGTGGATGTTGTGGACTTAGCAGGACAAGCCGGCTGGGGATGGGGCTGAGGAGGGAGCGGCTCCAGAGGAGGAGAGAAACCTGTCTCCGGTGACCTTCTCTGAAGGAGTGCCCATTTGTGCTGAATAATGGTCGTGTGTGCACTGTGGACTTGTGGCCATTAAACAGCGGACTGAGACCACTCAGACATTTCAATGATGGTCATTACAGCTGAGAGGCGGACCAGATTGTAATCGGACCAGTTGAAATGACAGTCCTCTGACCCACTGGTACATCCTGTCCTGCAAATGTTAGCACTTCAATGAAATGACTGAAATTATGCCTTACATTTTTTATCTGCCTCACAATCTTAGCTGATCTGGATCATTGTGATTTAATTCAATGAGCACAGTAACTGAGGTAAAAGATCACCTCATCTGTCAGAGTTCCGACTTTAAAACTATTATTTGAAATGGCAATAAACCTTCTTTCTTTGGGGGTGTGGGTGGGGGGGTAGGGGAAGAATATTTATCCCAAGACACTGCATGCTGAAATGTATTGCTTTGCTCCTGTAATACTTTGAAGATTAACAGTTTGTGAGCAACCATTCAGTTTTCCTGTGGAAGCCTAGAAAATTACCCAAGGATAAAAGCGCCCAACATTCAATCACAAGATTACCTATGATTGCCTGAGGAATCACTTAAGAATTTACACTCAAGTGGCATCTTTCAAATAGGATGAGTGTCCTAAAATATATCATCAAGTGAGAGCTAATAAAACAATAACATTTTATACCTTGTTTCACATTGGGAGATCTCAATTGTAGTGCTTCAACCACCACAATTTGTATGAAGTGAATGATCTATTTTATTTGGGGGATTGTTGACCAGGACTCCGGGAGAGAGAAACTCCCTCTTTTTATCGAATATTGCCAGGGATCTCAGTTTAATGTCTCATTTGAAGGGCAGCACCTCCAATAAATCAGTCGTCCCCCAGCACTACGCTGGTGTGAAAGCATAGATTATAAGAGTTCCAAATGTTGATGCGAGGCTTGAACACACAACCCTCTGACTCGGAGGTGAGAGTGCTATCAACTAGAAAATGAAGGTAGTGTTGTTATGGAGGCAAACACAGCAGCCAATCTATACCAGCGATGTTCCACACTCACAACAATAAACTGACATTTCTTGTTGGAGGGGAATTTAGATTTAGGGAGTGATATCAGCAAGGACAACCGGGAGAAAATCCCCACCTTTGACAAAGTGGCAGGAGACCTCGTAACAAACCTCCCCAACTCAGAGGGCGCACAGGACCTGGGTTTGATGTCTCATTAGGAAAGATTGATGTTGATGTGGACTAAAATAACAGGTGCATTAAATACAGAGTCTTATCCTGTCATACGTCTCAAGCACTTAGCAGGAAGAGTGCTTTGAAGTATACTGAATGTTTTGTTAGCAAACATGGCAGTGCTCAATAGGCTACACATAACATGCTTTGAAAATGTACTATTCAACGCAATATAATTGACACTCATACATGAGCAGGATTTAATCAGGAAACCTTTCACGTCAAAGCGCCTGGCAATTTTGTCTGGGCACTGGAGCTGAGGGTTG